GTCGAAACACATTGAGGTCAAATACCAATGGATTCAAGATGCTATGGAGATGAAGTCTTTTATTATTGAGAAGATCCATACCCACAAGAATGGGTTAGACATGATGATTAAGCTTTTATTAAAAGATAAGCATAAGTTTTGTAGAAAATATGAGTGCTTGGTAAAGCCCCGAAAATGAGTCGAAAAAAGAGAATGATACCGGTGTTGACTATTATTGGACTTTTAAACCCTAAAAACTAGTTTTAAAAGTGAGGTTTCTCCTCACATTTATAACCAAGCACTTAGTTCTTTACAAAATCGATGTGGAATAACCTAACAATCTTCTCTTTCACGGATCGAGCCCCAAATTGGTTATTTCTCATGAACTTGTGTGGCATCGACACATGAAGAATTGTTTAACCCGAGCTTCACTGCAGGTGTTAGGAGCTACTGGGCCTTCTCAATCCCAAAAGCTAGTTTAAGAAATGAGACTTTTCCTCCTATTTATAATCAAGCACTCAACTCCTTTCACAACTGATAGAGGATAATCTAACAATATTTTCTCTTCAACTAATCCCAAACTTCCTCTCTTTTGATCCACAGACACAAAATCCTTTCACCCAAACAACAATCACCACAGTAGCATTGGGTTATTTGCTTCAAATTATTTTTTTTAAAAAAATCTATTTCTTACAATTAGGTAAGTTATCATCCGACTTAAAAGTTTTCAAAATTTTACTTCTAGAATTGCTATATGAAACGATGGGATGCTAGCATTTATGCTGTTTAGAATTTTGATTTATAATGTCCACTCAAACTACCAATCCTACTCATCACAACATGATTGGGGGAAAAAAATTCAAAATCAAAATCAAAACTTGCCGACAATCATGGTATTGACGGGACCAACTACATAATAGTGATTGTGTATCCTCTAGCAACATCTGACATAATTTTTGTACAAACCTACCTCGTCTTCATCGATACATCCACTTCCAAGCTAGTCCCATACCAAGTGATTAGAAATGTCACCACTTTCAATTAAACAGAGACCAAGGAGAAGAATTGACGAATAGCACAGCTCCAACGATACATCTATTTCCAAGCTAGGTCCCATTAAAAATGTCACCACTTTCAATAAAAAAGAAACCAAGGAGAAGAAGATGAAAAGCTCAGCTTTTTTTTTTTTTCCCCAGATATCTCCATCCCATTTAATTAGATTTAATTACAATTGATTGTAATAGCATACACATAAGCATCATTAGCTAAGATTTTTGTTTTTTTAAATAATAATTAATTATTTTAATTTTTTTAAAAAAACTCATTTTCTACCAAAATTAACGATTTTAGCTTTAGGTTGACATTTGTCATCATATAATTGATAGACATTAATCAATTGATGGTATTTGACCTATTTAACGAAATAAGTTAATAGAGTTGAATAAAAAGACTAGTATATTTTAATTTATAATATTATAGAATTTTATTTAAATCATAACCGAACAAAAAGATTAAAATTAAATAATATAATAGCATGATGTGATTTTCATCTTAACAAATAGTATGGAGAAAAGGTACCAAAATATTATTGTAATGGATTTTTTTTTGCCTTTTCAATGATAGACGTTGTGGGCTAGTGCTTTCTACACGGAATTCTAGAAAGGGCTATCAAACGATGGAGCTGAAAGATTTTGTAATGGTTTTTAGTAATCAGATAAACACTTCTTTTACTTTTTTATAGATAGACTATATAATAAACTCACCGGTACTCTTAAATGAGTATAAAATTTTCATCTAAGGAAGCCACATTCATAGCACGGAAGACTATCACTAATGATGGAGACGTGAAGTTTTGTTTCATTCCTAATCAAATTGTTATAATCAGAACTTTTAATTGCGTTGGGTGATCATTGAGTACTAAAATATACTAGCAATTTTTTGGGAAAATTCCTTCAAGTTTAGCTAAATTTTTCATGGGAAAATATAACATGCTTGTTTACGTTTACAATAAACATTTTTTAATTAGGGTTTAGCAGTTAGGTTAAATTAATAAGTTTTTAAAGTTTAAGGACTGAATCCGAATCTTCAATGAGGATCAAATAGGATAAAAATAAGAAAAAACATTTATAAAAAAAAGAAGTAAGCATCTGTGGCAAAGTTTTATATTTCTTGAATTGGTTTTAGTATAACCAGATAGGACTTGCTGAAATAAATACAGACATATCCTTGATACTGCAAGATTATAAAGTTGGATTGATTGAGGATATATACCCCTAACCGCTAGCAAAAATATAAAAAATAAAATAAAGGTTGTTATTCTGATAGAAGGCTCAGAATTGGATATTTTTTTGAATGATAGAAGTGGTTGTTGGGCTAGTCCTTTCCACGAGAATTAAAGGGCCATCAAACAATTGATCTGAAAATATACTAGCAATTTTAAATGAGTAGCATAAAATTTATAAATAAGGAAGCCATGGTCATAGACACAATCATTTATGAGGGGTCAGGAAGTTTTGTTTTTACCCCTTCAAATAGATGCAAAAAGAATTGTTAATCGTGTTAGATGATCATTGATTACTAAAATCTGTAAGAAATATCATTTAATATGATTCTTATATATACCATGTCTTTTTTGAAATTTATAAATTATAATTAAAAGTTTAGAGTTCATTGAATTTTAATTAGTAGTGGGCTAAAGAAGAAGCAAAATTAAGTTATAAATAAAATTCATAATCTAATCATATAAATATTAAGTTAAGTTATTTGTCATCCATCAATGGTATTAGCTTTTTTTTAACAATTGTTTAAAACATTCGTATACGTTGCAAAGGCTATAGATCATATTACATTGCTGCCCGCATTTCATTATACTGCAATTCTATTAAAATATTTCAACCCAGAATGAAATTATTCGTGAAAAATAATTTTCGAATTATAACTTAAAGACTAATTGGTTCTACAATACCCTAAATTTTTGGACAGTCAGAAGCAGGTTCTCAACCTTTAATCTCAAACTTTTTTTCTGGTCAACAATAAAGTCTAGTTTTTCCGTCGAATAAACTCCGACTATATTTTTCGCATGCAGTCTGACGAAAAAACAACATGTGTCTTGAGAGAGACACTTCTAGGCACATGAACTACTCCAAATAAAATAAATAAAATTTTAAATAACTAAAAAGCCCCCATCTATTCCTTCCCATATTAAAACATGAAAAATCTTTAAATCATTTTAAAGTAACAAAAGCAACAAAACGCCATTAACAGCTAGTGTTATTATTGCCATGGACTTTTGATATTACAGTACTGCCTACACCATGAACTTTTTCATACACTGGAGTGAGTTCTTTTGATAGTATTATCTCTCTTGATATATCCAAGCTTGGAAGCTATGATATTTTATCAACCACTTGGTAGCTAATTTACAAGGCAAACACCAACCTAAAAAAGAAGAAGCAAATTTTTCTATTTGGGTTCTTGTACACAATAAAAATTCTAAAAATAGATTGGAGAGAAAGGAGAGGAAGAAGAGGAATGAGGAAAAAGTTTCACGTGATGAAAGAGAGATATTTTGTTTGGTGTGCAAACTGTGGAAATTGGGTATTTAATTTGAGTTCAAGTTTTTCATCATTTCACTCTTAAGTGATTCTGATTAAAAAAAAAAAAATTGAGATTGAAATAAAAAAAAACAAAGGTTAGGACCTATCTGTATTTGACAAAAAATTTAGAGTATTATAGAACCAATTAGCTTAACTTCAAATTATTATTATTTTTTTATAAGTCATGTGAAACCGAATTTGTTTTTCGAAATAAAATTTTCTTCCATCCATTCTTTTGCTTCTTATAAGCTTTCTTATACGCAACACATCTAATCTTAAATATATAAAATCTTTTGTATGGAGAAAATTTTATAAATTTCTGATGTGAAAATGAAAATCTTAAAAGAAGAAAAAAAATTGCAACCTAAGACCCTTATAAATTCTACTAGGAATATAGGAGTAACTGTATTACAAAAAAAAAAAAAAAAGTAAACATTGCTTATCAAGATGTTGTAGTATGTTTCATTTTACAAACATTTTCTTACTTTTCACTGACATCCAATCATTTATTTAAAAAACAAACCAACCACATTTTTTTTTTCATGCCAAAAACTTATACATATATGTTGAAGGACACGTAGCCATACTTCTTTTTATTAGGGCTTCTTAGCTGTCACGGTATCGCCAATGGCAATGACAAATCGATATCGAACATCGTTTTTTTTGCAATCGTTTCATTGCTGTGTTCATATGGTTCGCCAAAATATCTTCAATTTCTGCAATAATGTTGTGTTTTGTTGCAAAATCAACCATCTTTTGTGTCTCCTTCATTTCCAATGCCACTTCCAGCTGCTCTCTTCCTTCCCCTTTTTTCCACATATTATTCACCACGGCAAAAAAAAAAAAAAAAAAACTAACTAAATTTACAATATTCAGATGTTATACTGATCGACAATCAAAGAAAAGATAGGTAGCTCAAAAGGCTTCTCAAGTGCACCTACCGAGATAAGTTTTTCTTGAGACTTCAACAATTTCAACAATGGGAAATGGTATGAATTGCAGAAACTGTACTATGATACCATCTGATGTGCCTGTGGCAGTCTGGACATTCCATTTTGTACTCAACTTTAAAACAAATTACCAGTCGATTTAAACTTATCTCAATCTAAAGAAGTTAGAAAAAATTTTGAAATTCAACGGGAAATGAACATGTAAAAATATGAAAGTATCTGCATCTACTTTTGGCCACGACTAACAAAAAAATGATTACGCACCCAAATTCTTCGAAGTCTGTTAAAATGTATATGGGATGGCACATCAGTAAATAGCTAGATAATGGAGGTTAGCTTATCAAGTTAGTTAAATTAAGTTGTTAAGTTGTCAGAGGAGTTGGTTAGCCTTTAGTGATGTCAGTTAGCTCATAATCCAGCTATAAAAGCTCTCTCTCTTTCCTCATTTGTAACGGTAACATAACAGTGAAATATACTAAAGTTGCAGAGTATTTTGTTGCTTCATTATCTCTTCCTCCTCTGCTTCGTCTCTAGCTTTGTTTTCGTGTTGGTTTGTTTGGGTGTGAATTTCTAACAAAGTCGCTTCCTTCTTGGCAGAAGAAGTACTAATTACTGTCACTTTAGCTCCAAAAGCCTTAGCAAATTTAATAGCCACGTTACCAAGTTCATCAAAGCCAATGATACCAATATTCTTGCCCAGTTCATCTAATCCAACATATTTTAAGGATTTATACATTGTAATCCCAACACAAAAAAATAAAATAAAATAAAAATAAATAAATAACAATAAAAAAAATAAATAAAGGGGCAAATAAATATTCTTATCATAGCATCAGATTTCACTGAAAATGATAGCGAAGAAGTGAATGAGTCATCAAGCACTATAACCATTGGTCCAAATTTAATAAATTTGAAAGACGTCTTTGGTCAGAACCAATGATCTATAGAATTCATAGTTTGAGAAAATGTGTACAGAAGGTAAAAAAAGAACAGAAAAGTTGATAGCTAGCCACAACAAACCTAAAAACGAGAAAGAAAATAGAAGTAGAAGTATGTAAATTAGCTAAGCATGAAACGTGAAAACAATTTATATTCCAATATATATATATATATATATTACATTTCATTGAAGGGTATTTTGGTCAATTTTTTTTATAATCGAAAAAATTGATTTGAAAGATAAATTGAATATTTCAAAAATTTTCAAAAACATATGAGATGCAATTAGAAACTCGGAGAGATGTGAGAGATTTTGAATATTATATAAAGACAAATAAATATATTTAATTATAGAAAGCTTTCTTTATCAGCAAAAGTCTCTTCAAATGTTTGGCATTCCAAAATAGGTCACCCCCACTATAGAGTACTCAATCTTCTTTTAAAATAGCATTCTTTATCAAACTTTTAAAATTCATATAGTCAGTGCTTGTCTTATCCATTAGGAAAAGCAAGTCATTTATCTTTACCTTTATCAAAAACTTTAAGCATTAGTGTTTTGAAATTGGTTTTTAGTGATGTTTGGGGACCTTCCCTTATTGCCTCTATTGATGGTTTTAAATATTACATTATTTTTGTTGATCACTTCTTAAAAAATATTTAGGTTTATCCCTTGTGAAAAAATTTAGAGATTTATAATGTCTTTTATGTAGTTTCAAAAAATGGTTGAACGCAGTTTAATTATCAAATTAAATAAGTCCAAACCGATTGGTTGGAGAATTTCAAGGACTAAATAATTTTTTTTTCAAAACATTAGAATTTCTCACCGCATCATGTTTCCTCACACACATGAGCAAAACAGAACTGCAGAAAGATGACGAAACGTCACATTGTGAAAACGGGCCTAACCCTCTTAGGAGAGGCCCACGTTCCCAAACAATATTGGACCTTCACATTTAAAACTACTATCTTTTTAATTAATAGAATGCCCTATCCTATCATTAAGTATAAATCACCCTTTGAACTTGTCTTTCATAAAAGCCCATATTATTTTTTTCCGAAAAGTTTTGGTTGTCTTTGCTTTCCATATCTAAGACCTTATAACCATTACAAAATTGATTTTCTATCTACCTTGCATATTTTTGAGCTACGACCCATCACATTAGGGCTATCAATGTTTTAACAAAACAAAAAATTATTTTTACATAGCTTGCCATATTCGCTTTCTTGAAACAATTTTTCAATTTGCATAACACGTATTTCCTAACAAATCTTCTACTCAACCAAATGATTCAACCCCATGGATAAGTGTCCCCATTTGGCCCAATCCATCCCTTTACCATGACTTTAATGTAGGTCGGCATCCAAACACTCCCACGAATAACAACACCATGACAACCCGGACACAAGCCTATAGTCCTACGAAATCAACAGCTTGCTCCATCTTCCATTAAGCCCAGCTCGATCCTCCACCACGCCAAGTTTAAATTTATTGTCGGATTTTAGCAAATATGACTTGACTAACCAAGTGTGCGGATAAAAGTTTCCATTCCAATCATGAACTCATACGGACACATCTTATGGTCCTATGACATATGGTCCTAAAAGCATCTCTTGGAATATCTCACTTGACTATCCTTGAAAGCCCATCTTGCTACACTCGAAGCTAAATAGCATATGGAATGGCGTAAGGTCATAGAATTAGAGTTTAATGCCTTTTTGAAAATAAGAACTTGGTCCCTAGTCCCTATAACCCTTTCAATGAACATTATTGGGAACTAGTGGGTCTTCAAAAAAAAAAAAACATATAGGTGGCAATATCAAAAGGTTAGTTACCAAAGGATATCACCAATAAGAAGGAATCAATTTTAGGGAGACATTTAGCCTAGTGGTCAAGCCCACCATTATCGGAGTTATTATTTCCTTAGTAGTTTCACATGAATGACCCATCAAGCAACTAGATATGCACAATCCATTTCTAAATGACACACTCCATGAAACTGTTTACATGGATCAACCAGTGGGCTTTCTTGATGCCCAATATCCCGATCGTGTTTGTAAACTTTACAAGTTACTTTATGGGCTCAAACAGTCTCTATGGGTCCGGTTTTCATGTCTGCAAGAGTTCTTACTATTATTCGGCTTTGAAGGATCCAAAATAGACCATTCTTTATTTTTTTACAAGGCCCAAAATTGTAGAGTTTTCCTGTTAGTCTATGTAGATGATATCCTTATCTTTAGGGAGAATTCAACTTTTCTCCAAATAGTAATCCATGCCATGAACTCCAAGTTTGCAATACGAGACCTTGGCGACATCAATTATTTTCCGGGCATAGAAGTCATTAAAACTTTCACATGTATTTTTCTTTCTCAACGAAGTACATCCTTACCAAATAGGGCATGCTAGATTGTCGACTTATCACCACACCCATGCCTACCATGTCCAAGCTAAAAAATAGGGATACCGATTTGTTTTCAAATCGGACCCTATATCACTAGGTTATGGGTGGCATCCGATATGTTATACTCACTAGATCGGATATTGCATATTCAATGAACATATTAAGAAGTCCACCTTTCAACTCCTCACAAGGTTCTTTGATTTTGATTGGGCCGGTTCTTTTGAGGATAGAAAAATCTACAAGCGGGTATGTAGTTTACTTAGTGGCTAAACCTAATTACTTGGAAGTCCTCCAAGAAAAAAAAATGGCACGGAGTTCTATTGAGGTCGAGTATAAAGCTTTCACTAATCTAGCAATTCGAATTAACATGGGTTATGTCCTTATTGGGTGAACTTAGAGCCGTACTAGTACCTAAGCGAATAACATAGTGTGATAACATTGGAGACACATATTTAGCTATAAACTCGATCTTTCATGGACAAACTAAACATGTGAAAATTGACTTTCACTTTGTTAGAGATATGGCTACGAGGGGAGCTTATAAGTAAAATTCATTTCTACACAAGATCGGATTACGGACGTCTTAATCATGCCTCTATCTACTCGCTCGGCTTGATTTCTTATGAAATAAACTTACCGTTGGATGCCATCCATAGTTAGTTTATAGGGGAGTATTAAGACATAGTTCTACTACGAGAGACATTCTAACTACAAGACCCATGAAAGAGATAAGCTCCGCTCTAGAACCCTTAGAAGAAACAAATGCTATAACCCCGTGGAAGAGATAAGCTCTACAAGAAAGAGATAAAATTTACAATCTCCTAACCTTATCCAACAACCTTATAGATAAATATTTAAGACGTGCATGTAAACTATACTCGTATGTATATAAAAGGGTCAATTAAAACCCTAGCATAATATATCAAAGAGACATGTTTTTTTATGAGGATTAGCGAGAGAAGAATGAATGTTTTTATATATGTATGCTTTTTGACTCATTACAAGTGATGTATATATAGAGAAGAGTTTCAAATATACTAGAATTCTATATGTAGTTATAAATGTGATAAGCTAAAGCTCATCCGATACTCCGTAGATGACGATTATCTTCGTAATGGGATAACTATTACGAGTGGTATATGGACTCTATCTAACACCTCATTCAAGCCTTAGCTTGGGTGAGAAAGTAGGCATAGTTTGCTTCGAAATGCCGATGTCGTCTGGATAGCAAGAGGCTTGGTTAATATGTCCGTTATTTACTTAGTTGTGGAACAAAACTTGATCCGAAGTTTACCAAAAGTAACAAGTTCACGAATAAAGTGATAATTGAGTTCAATGTGCTTTGTATAAGCATGGAACTTCAAATTTGCAGAGAGGTAAATGGCTCCCAAGTTATCACACCATAATGTTACAGGTTTGGCGCATAGATACCTAAGTTCGATCGGTAGAGAGCTAAGTTAGATAATTCTACTATTGTGTTTGCAATTGTTTTATATTCATTTTCGATTGAAGACCTAGCGATGGTGAGTCGTTTCTTAGCAAAACAAGACACAAGGTTGTATCCTAAGTAAATAGCATATCCATTTATGGAACGTCTATCATCTCGGGCATCCATCCCGCTCGCTATCAAAGTAGCAATGGGACTCGTAAATTTAAATTATTATTGAAGAATAACCCGATTGATGGTATATGACTTAAGTATCGTATAACCTTCTTCAATGCCTTTTTGTGTGCATCGGTAGGTATGTTCATGAATTGACCGAGTTTATTGACAGTAAAAAAATGTTTGGTCTCATCATCATTAAGTAATGCGATCCACTAATTAATTGTCCGTATACTTTACCATTTTCAAGTCGTGTGCCTTGACTTTTGGATGGGTTAGCGAAGATAGCCGGAAGAGTGAGGCACTCGTTTGAATCTTTCATGCTCGATTTCTTTAGCGTATGTTCTATGTATTTTTGTTGCGTTAATAGTGTGCCATCCGATAACTTGTGAACCTCAATCCCTAGGAAGTTGTGCAAGTTGCCAAGGTTAGGAATTCCGAGTGAAGTTTACTAATGATGGCTTCCATTATATGAGAGTTGGATCCCGTGACAATAAGATCATCAACGTAGATAAATATAAAAAGTTTTTTGCTTTGGTATGGTTAATGAACAGGGAACTATCAACCTTGGATGCTTGAAATCCATTTACTTCCAAGAAGGTACTCAACCTACTAAACCATATCCGAGGGGCTTGTTTTAAGCCATAGAGAGATCGATGCAAGAGGTAAAAGTGGTTAGAATGGCTAGCAACAATGTGTCCTCGTGGTTGTTTCATGTATACTTCTTCTATTAAATATCTATGAAAAAAGGCATTGGAAATGTCTAGTCATCGTAGAGACCATCCATGCACCATG